CTTTCCCTTCTCTTCTTTCTCTTCCTCCTCTTTATCCTTCCCCCCTTCTTCTGCCTTTCCTGTTCCTCTCCTGGGAAAGAGATTTTATATACAGGTAGTCCTCGACTCAAACCTTTAACTGAGTCCAGAATTTATGTTGCTAAGTGAGGCATTTGTCAAGGGAGTTTTGCTCCACTTTACAACTTTCCTTGCCACAGTTGATAAGTGAATCGCTGCAGTCGTTAACTTAGCCACACGGTCGTTAAGCGATTGCAGTGCCCGGTGGGGGGAGCACATGTGATCCCCTTTTATGACCATCTCACCAGCAAACTCAACAGGGAAAGATATTAAATCCAATCGACAAAATGCACTTCCTGCTTCCTAATCGTACCGCTCCTACTGGAAAACAAGACATAAACCCCTCACTCAGCCCAGGAGATCTCGCAATATCCAAGCCTGCCCCGTTAAACCAGAGTGGCGGCATTTAGATCATTGTTTAATGAAACTCATCCTTGTTTACATCGAAACTGGTTTTAGTCTGTGCCCGGACCGAGCCCGGCGCATACAAAACTCCCAATGATTGATTTATTAAATCAGCACCATCAATGTTCTTCTACACCTTTCGCCCTAATAGAGGTCAGAATTAATTTTATATTCCTGAAATGAAAAGGAACAGACAATAAATCTGTCAGCCTGATATTTTAAAAAAACAAAAACCTTCGCTCTCCCCCCACTTCCCCACCCCGGTTTTGGGGCTTTTTAAATACTGAGTAAACTCTCGACCATCTGTTGTTTCGAAGTACAGAGTACATCAATGAACATATGGGCTCCCTTCTCAACCAGCTGTAGTGTAGTTAAAGTTATAATAAGAGCTTTTGGGGGGGAGATCTGTTTGCATTAAAAACTTGGCTCATTAAAGTATCTGTGACAAGCGATGGAGTCCTTTGCAGCGCTAAAAAACTAACACGTATTTGTCATTTCATAACACAGTTCTCCCCCCAAAAAATTCCTCTCCCTTATTTATAAAGATTCTGCTCAAGTAAACTGCATTATTATTATTATTTTTAGCATTCCTGGCTAATATTTTTCTCACTTCGAAACCTAAATTTGATGTATTCCGTTCCAGAAATTCGATACCTTGACAGCTAATTAAGGGCTTTGATTTTTTGCGAGTGACCCCAAAAGACAGCCATTTTCAACGGCTGCGGTTCAGTGAATTGGAAAGCTAATTTTTTTTTTAATGCAAACATTTTAAGCAAAACATTTTGCTCTGAAATGGGACGCATTAAGATTGGGCTGAGATTAAGAGAGGGCCGTTTGGATGTCACCGAGCCAACAAACGTTGATCGAAACACAAAAACATACCTTTATCTGGGTGGTTCAGAATCATGATTTTCCGGTGAGCATTTCTAATCTTGGCCTTGCCGGCAGATGGACTGTAAAAATATATATTTAGAGCGCTTAGCATAAATCAGGAATCTTGCAGGCGGAAAAACTAGCAAATTTGCATTGCTTCAGAAAACATAACATTCTAGAGCTCCTTGCCATCTGGTGGTGAAAGAGAGTACTACACCTTTCAAAAAATTTAAAAAAAACTTGGAATAATTTGTAAGAAAATAATAGAATGGAATGGAATGNCGCGAGATTAGGTGTCTGGTAAAATATAGCTGAACGGGAAGCGGTGGCTCAGGGGCTCAGGCGCTGAGCTTGTCGATCAGAAAGGTCGGCGGTTTGAACCCCTACGGCCACGTAACGGAGTGAGCTCCCGTTACTTGTCCCAGCTCCTGCCAACCGAGCAGTTCGGGAGCACGTAAAAATGCAAGTAGAAAAATAGGGACCGCCATTGGTGGGATGGTAACATCGTTACCGGCCACATGACCACGGAGACGTTTTCGGACAACGCTGGCTCTTCGGCTTTGAAACGGAGATGAGCACCGCCCCCTGGAGTCGGGAACGACTACAACATACGAGTGAGGGGAATCTTTACCTTCCATTTTTACCTCAGCTTTTGACACACAGTTTCCCTCAACACGAGCAAGGATTCAACGGGGGATTTGCAGCTCGTGTTGTCTCGCACAATCGAGCGAAAGTAAATATTTTCATGGCTTACTAGAGCAATTTTGCTTCGGGGGAAGGAAAGCCGATCACACAAAGATAACGGAACTGTTTTTTCCCTCCGTTACACCTGCCTCATTAGTGAAAGTCAATCAAATCTTTTCATTGAACTTGTCAAATTCGTATCCTCCGCTGAAGGGAGGACACCTTTTATTCAAGTTAAGACCTCGGGACCGAGACCAAAAACATGCCACTGGGGGGAAAAAAGTCACTGGAGCGTATGGATGTTGTCCAAAACATTTAAGGAATATAAATATATTTAAAATATTTAAAATTAAAAACAAGACAGGTAGCTGAGGTAAAGGAGCTGCTTACTTCTCTAAGAGTGCGATGGGAGAAAATTCACAGGTCTAAAGCATCCATTTCATAATCTTCACGGTGGGCCGGGAGTTCAAATTTGGACAGTATAATCGTTATAATCTACAACGCTTCTGGTTTTTCCAAGGAAACAAAACATTATTATTATTATTATTTTTGCTGATGAAAAACTAAAAACTTGGATTTGACGTATTAAGAGAGAATAACAATCCTAACTTTTGGTGCGGTGGCCTTAGAGGTGAAGCTGTCGCCTCACAATCCGGAGGCTGGATCAGGAGTTCGATCCTAGGTTAGAGGCAGACATTTCTCTCTCTGGGCACAATGAGAATTTTATCTGCTGGACAAAACTCTGCAATGGCAACAGGAAAGGCATCTGGCCATTAAAAACTCTGCTAACTCCATTCGGTTGCAGAGACACCACCCCGCGAGGGATTATGGGGTGGTTAAATGAAGATGATGATGATCAATCCTAATTTTTCTGCATCGCGGTCTCACACTTCCAGGATAATGTCCCCCCCTGAGGCCATAAATGAGATTTGAAGGATGGAACCCGGATTTGATTATGAACTCCCTGAAATGGCGCCCTCAAATCTGCTGACACTTTATTGACAAGCCCAAAGTTTGATTTCCGTGCCGCGGGTAAGAAAGAAGTCCTTGTGTGGCTTCCGAAAAGTTTCTGAGGTGCGGTGAAAATCCCTAATTTTTCCTGCTTGATTCCAGAAGATCCTTGGC